GAGTGAATCGAGTGTTCATGACGTTCGCATATATGAGTTTGATGGGGGATTTTCTCTTTCACAAATCTAAATGAAATGAAAGTCTCAGAAAACCCGTCGCATGCTTTTGGTCGTAACAATTTAAGCGGGAGAACATTAATTGTTCGGCAGTGGAATGTACGTGCCGATATGGTCGTCAGACATATGCATACGCGGTACGCCAATTAGGTAGCCAATCCACTTAATTCCACGTCAAACACGCGATCCATTAAAACATTAGTTTGGTTGAATTTGCATGACAATGCATAACCAAACGCGATTTAGTCGAAGAAAACAGAATTTCTGATCATAAGAATTCAATTTGGTTCATGAGAACTAAAAATATTGTTTTTTTCAACTAAAACACATTTAGTCTATTATCAGTTCTTTTCAGTGTCTTGTGTCCTGACTGGTCGACCTCTTCTTCATGAATATGTGAAAATCAGAACGAAATTCATTTTAAAGTAACATAAATACGGCAGCCTAATATTTGTTAGAATACCTGATAATCATGTAACTCTTTGTTATTTTGCATTAAAAAAATGTTTGATATTTGTAACTATAATCACACATAAGTGAAAAAATTATTGCCAAAAGAACCATTTTTCTAATAAGTGTTACTATAATATTAGTAATGATAACTTTACATGCATATTACTACTATTTTTTGGATTAAAACCAGAGAAAGATATAATTGAGACCGAAAATGATTATAATTTACTTTCTCTTAGTATGTAACGATAGTTAGTATGTATTTATTCATCGTAATATTCGTTATATATTGTCCACAACTTCTAAATTAAAGGAAAAAAATTGAACATATTTAAATGTATACATGTAAACATATATGTCGATATGTCTAAGAAAAAATTCGGTTAACATCGTTAACCGCTAAGTTATGCTTCGCTATGCTTCGAATATCGCTCATTCTTTCATGAGCCGTAATAACATACTTCAACTTTGGCAGAAATCTGTATAATTCAAATTACTACTAGGTTGTTAATGCCATGAAATCTGTAAAGAAAGACGATTATATTTACCCGGAAGCATCGAGAAATCAGGCAGATCACTCGATCAATGATTCGTCATAAAGCAGGTAGATCTACCCAAGCGGTCGGCAATGTGTTAATATCGGCTTATTAGATATGTTCGTGTAGATTTTGCAGAGAAAGAATCCAAAACCGGTATTATATATTTATAATCGGCCATAATTTTGTTCAATAATATATTCATTGTTTTTCTGATGGTTGACGGTCATAAAAAAAAACAAAAATTCAATCTTTACTTTACTATGAGACTTTGAATGTTTTATGAAAATCCACAAGAATTTATCGAACAACCCAATAATATCCCTCTTCCTCTCCACCCCATTAAAACAATCCCTTTGAAAGAAATTGAAGTAAATTTGTATTATTTTTAGTAGTATTGCAAAAAAATATTGTATCTCTCTCTCTCTCTCTCCCTCCCTCTCCCTCTTTTTCTCTTTTTCCTGTGTTCTTTTTCTCTCTATTTTTCTTTTGCTCTCTTTCTCCTGTGATTCAGATACTCGCGTGATCGCCGACATACAACTGGTTCTCATCGATTATTACCATCTCTGTGTAGATATAGGCGCGCGGTGCTATATACGGCATACGGTACTATATACGGCAACCTGCTGAGAAAGTTTTCGAGCGGTACGATGCCCTTTCAGAGCACGGGTGCTTGCGCGCACGCGCCGCCGCTCCAAAAAAGTGTCCGTGACCTTCCTTGTGCACGTGCGCGTTTAAAGTGCGACGGTATCAGCGGGTGCACTTTGCTCTCAAAAGGACAGTCGCGATCGCCGTATGGCATCACATACGAATCAACCCACCGAACGCGACGAAAGAGGCCGTGTGCACATCTCGTGTGAGTCGCGATTTATTCCGATACATCTGCATTTCATTATGCGAATATTCAACATCCTCGATATCTCCGTGAAAACGATTTGGGCAACCCGTTAGATCTCTCGAGTATTTTTTTAGTATTGACATGACGGAATTTATGTGACAATGAAAGCCAAACACGGAATTTATGTGACAATGAAGCCAAACACGTTTTGGTTACAGGAAACGGAATTTCTGGCTCTGGCGAACTAATTCAGCTACCACAACTAGAAATTCTGCCTCCTTCAATCGAAACGCGCTTGGTTTGTTTTGTTTATTATCAGCAGTGTTTGCCTTTGATGATTTCAGATTCATCTAGATGAAAATGAGCTGAAAATCCAAAAAAATCATCCTAGATGAGATAAAGATGATTTTGCTTTTGATTGATTGATGTAGATGAAAAATAAGATAAGTAGCGCTACTTATTTAATTTTTTAGATGATATTGTTTTTGTGAGAGATTTTATAAAAATTGATAATAAAAATTACATAGATTTAAAATTGGACAACGATTAAATAATTCATCAACGTAATCGCTCTAAATTTAAGAATCTTACAAAAGAAACCAATAACCATTCATTGCTCATTAATTGATGTATTTTCTGAACGTCATTATTTCAATATTTTTCTTTAAAGCCCATATCAGGCAGACTGAAAGCCGACCTGACTGGCGGTTACAACTCTTGAAGGACCTATCACAGTGAAGCTTCATGTAACTAGTCTATTGTGATTAGTCCATTAAGAGTGACAGTCGTAATCTGCAGTCGGGTCGGCCTTTACAATCGGCAGTTTGATACAAGCTTAAAGTGGATTGATTAATTGAAACAGTCTTTTTTTTTTTAGTCGCACCAGTACAGCAGTACAAATAAAAAGAGCAGACCAAAGGAAACAAAACCGAAATTTATTAATTCGTTGAAATCTAATCTCTAATCCCTAGTTTGATAAGGGCTTAACGCATATGTCCATATTATTTCATTCATTTTATCGAAAAGTGAGTTCAGAATATAGACCGTAACATCATTTCAGATAATTTTTATATGAGATAACATGTTTTTTATCTAAAATTAAGATAAATATATATTGTATTTCTTCCATCTAGATAAATATAGAGATAATCTATTCATTCATCTGAATGATTATCTAGATAATTTTATCTAGATACCGGCAAACACTGATTGCCAGATACACGGAAAGAAGTTTGGTTGAAGTTACTAGAAGTGGGCAAGCCAAATACGTTTTCGTTGAAGAAAACGAAATTATAGTGTAATAATTAAATTATAATACGAACGAAACTGATTATAAGAGTTGAATTTAACTTATAAGACGCAGAGCTTTTAGTTTGTACATTTCAAATAAATTTAACCAAATCGTTTTTTCCGAGCAAATTCAACCAAACTATTTCTTTCGTGTACACTAAGAGAAAGCATCACGAAAATTATAGTTATTTTCACCAACTCAACTATATCTTTTCCTAGTTTTAACACGAAAATATATAGTAGTAATAATATGCATGTCAAGTTATTACCACTGACACTGGCACTATACCAACTGCACACTATATCGAGGGACGACTCAGGAATGTCCTTAAGACATAAGAACGTTCTTAGGATGTCCTTTGGTAGCATGTGCTGTATGGGTAGTAACGCTACTAGAACAATTATTCTCCTGCACAAAAAAATAGTTTGATCAAATTTATCTAAAATTATGTTGACAGAAATAGAATTTCTGCTTACAAGAAACAAATTTGGTTCTGAGAACAATTTGAATCTTGATCATAAAAACCGGAGATTCCATTTTCTTTAACCAAAACGTATTTGGTTCGTCCTTTTCAAATAAATTCAATCGAACTATTTTTCCCATAAGATAATTCTGCACTTGTACGATTACAATTACAAACACTCCAAAAATATTTGTTTCTTTATGGAAATTATCTTTCTCTCTTCTTCCAGTGTTATTCGATCGAATTCGCTTCTGAGTATCATCGGCGTTAAATTGTTATGATAAATCTCGTGGAGTGACATAAAATAATAATGCAAAATAAAATGCACTCATGTATAATTCAGCAGTAATTGTGCACAGCGCATATGAATCGCGCGAAATAATCAGCATTATTTAAAATAGATGATGTATACGCTGTTGCGAGGTAATTAACTGAGTAGTTTGATTGCTTAATTTGATAATCAGTTATTATTTACGCGATATGCATGTTATTCGTTGTTTATTCATCGTGGAGAAGGAATATGTGTTACCATTTGGCTTCGATCTCGCTTATTATTACTACTTCGCGCTCTTTTTCCTTTTTTTTTCTACACAATGTTCGTAGCTAGAAGTAAAGATTAAGAATTTCGATGCGTTTGAGATTTGTACTTGTACACGTGTTCTTTACCATTATGTTATTACGATAACAACACCGTTTATTGACAGACCAAGCGTCAAAGGACTTTTATCATTGGTTTCTTCCGACGAGTCATCGGTATTGACTTCGTTCTATCGTTTTCACAGAATTTCACATGTGACACATAACAGTATATTGAAAGAAATCTCACTGAAATTATAGTCATTCTCAGCAACTCAACTATATATCTTCTTCTGATTTTAATTAAAAAAATAGTAGTAGCAATATTTGCATGCAAAGTGTTATCATCACTGACACAATGATAACATTTACTAGAAAAATGGTTTTTCTGGTTGTAATCCTATCTCTTATGCGATTACAGATATAAATATTGAAACTTTTGTTCCCATGTATATTACACACAAATTAGATTCTCATAAGATATTATTTTCATGCGGCGAGATCCTCTGTCAATACCTAAGGTCGAAATGATGATTCTCGAGAAATTGTCTCGGTTTTCGCGTTTGTCAGGTTTTCAATTTTTCGAGGAGACGCCAATCAAAGTGACGATCGCTCTCGCGGCATAAATGTGCGAGTATCCGATGATTAACGGCATATCATCGTTTATCATTAGCGAGAACAATTACGCAAAGCTTGCGTATATCGCTGACTGTGCGAATTTCCGGTTACAGAATGATTTAAATCTCGGAAAGTCGCTTCCCGCAGCGTAGTCGAGAGGTTACTCACGTGTTCCGGTGACGAAGCCCCCGACGAAAGGAAGATAAAGTCGTCTGGTAAATCACGAGTCAAAGGGAGAAATAAAAACCATAAGTGATGTACACGCGAGAAATGTCAACGACGCGATGCGTCTGAGACGCCTTGTAATCGACGATTCCACGTGTCGAGTACGGAGGAACGTTCGCGTCGGAATCAGCGGACCGAGTTCACGGTACCTCGCTCAACTGCTACCTGCCGACCAGCAGTAGTTACGTGGAAGTAAAACAGTGTGCGGATCAAGCGTCGTGGAGCACGACTGCACGAGTGGCCGCTCTTCAACGTGACTCCCGTGTTCGAAGGAAACCGCGTTAGCGCCCCTCTCCATCGTGCCTCGTGGGTCTTCGCTCGTCGCGCCATTCCCTCGTGCTTCTTCTCTTCCGGGATTTCGTTCGGTCCTTCCTCATGGCAATCCTAGTCGTTGTAGCCGACGACCGACGTGCGTTATTGTTACTGAAACCCGGTCGAGTCATTACGTTGCGAGCAGTCGCGAAAGCATCGCAGCTTTGATCTTTCACAATTCGAGTCGACATCTAGATGAGACAAGAAATTTATCGGTGCCGAAAGGATGTAGTATGAGTTTTTTCAAAGTTGAATTAGTAAACTCCTGTACATTTGTCGTATATTTTCTCATTTTACACCGAGAAAAATTCCGCTAAAATTATAGTCATATTGGTCTTAACTATATCTTCTTCTAGGTCTAATCGAAACAATAATATTATTATTGACACTATAGCAACACATTAGAAAAATAGTTCTTCTGTCTACAATTCCTTTATTTATACGATTACACGATTATACGATTATAATTACAAATATTTTGTTCTCAGTGGAGCAACGTAGTACACGATTAGCATGTAAGTCTAAAAACTAAGGATTGACAATTATTTAACCTTTTAAAATTACTGTTCAACTTACAATTAATGAACTTTTCAATGTACAATTATCTTTTCGACATGTTTTGACCTTTAAAATTAAGAAATTTACAAAAAATTATGTTGATCAATTTTTAAAAGCTTATTTATTGAGCCAGTAGAACAGTTTAGTTCGATTTTTGACAAGTGAAATTTGACGCATTCAAACTTATCGCATTTAGTAAGAAAAATATTTACTCAGAAAGATCTCAGTTGTGTAATTGAACAGAGGTCAGATGATAACGAAAAATTATATCAAATTATATCTTATATCTTATCGCGATGGAAAATATTCGTTTGAATACTTGTCAATGTTAAAATTTTATTGAGATAATTGAGAACAATTGGTCGAATAGAAACTTTCTACAAGAATCTTCCTATTCCTACAGTTGAAACCAGAACTTTCGTCTGATGACTTTTTATCGTCGTTATAGATGACAGAAAATAAAATATAAAAACCAATTTTTTTCCGTATTTTCGTAATCAAACATTATCATCTTGATTGTCTTTGCTTCTTCGTTCCAACATTCTAGTGGTAGAATTTATAGATTATTCACTTATTTATTTATTTTATAGAGGATAAAACAGTAACTATTACTATCTTAAATATCCTTGAAAGAGAAAAATATTTTATTCACGACTAAATGAAAATGCACTGAGGGAAGTTCTATTAAAGTTATAGCAATTTTCTGCAACTAAATTGTATTTTCTTCTGGTTTTAACTAAAAAAATAGTAGTAGCAATAGTAGTAGTAATATATAAGATTATTGTCACTGGCACTATAGTAACACTTCCTAGAAAAATGGTTCTTCTGATATATAATTCTTTCATTTATGTGCGATTATAGTTATAAATACCAAAGCTTTTTTCTCAATATAAAAAGGATTACATTTGCAGGTGCTTGTAGTAATGATTATTGATTTTAGTGCAATTTCTGTTAGATAAATTTTTATAAATATTAATAAACGGCTCCATTAATGATTAGAAAAGAGAGAAATAATAGCCAATAAGAGCCAAATTGCAATGTTTCTAAATTTAAGATGTTTGTATATCAACATTGCTACCTGCATTACATATATACTGATAAAGAAAAATATTTTATATCTGTGATTAATACTAATTGTGAATCATAGTAAAAAAATTATAATCATTGGTAATAATAAAATAAAAACTATTTTTCTAATAAGTATTACTATATAATGTCATTGATAATATACATATTGTTACTATTAGTTTTGTAGTTAAAACCAAAGAAAAGAATACAGAGTGAGGCCAAAAATAACTCTATAATTTCTCTCAGTGAACAATATATTTCGTTTTCTTTTACTTCGTAAAGAGCCTATTTTGAACAAACATTCATATTTTCGAATTCGCTAATATCGAAAGCTCGCACAGTCCTCGCGTGCAACATGTTGCATCTTCTTTCACGTTTTGCCGGCGCGAACAAGGAGAAAAAGGTAAAAGCAGAAACAGAATGATCGAGAGTCTACGATTAAAAGTCGATGCTTGCAACATGTCCATCCAGTGTCGAACAATTGCAAGTGCGAAAAATTGCCACATATATGTATCTTCGGAGAAGATCGCAAATGATCGTATAATGCTCATCAATCATCGAGGAAAGCGTTCTACGTCTGATTAGACACCGTAAACGCATAATATGGCCGAGAACACCGATCTGAATGTTCTCGCTTCGACTCGTGCTTCTCTCGTCGCCTTGTCCTCCGTCTGCGCGTATCACAGGTGCTCGTTACAATCGCGTCGATCGATCTTGAGATTAGCTTTCACTAATTCATTATTCTTACGTTACGACCTTGTCTCGGTCAGCCTATATCGCAAAGCGAGATAGCAATATGCACATATAATCGTGACATTAGCGTGTAGCGTTAACTATTCACGAAAGACAAAAAATTCCGCGAGAAGAAAATCTACTTTGGTGAATTTCGCACTTTCAGTTGTATCTTGTATCAAATAGGGAAATGTACTTTCTGAGAACTACTAAAAAACAAATTTTCCCATTTGACATAGAATATGCATTGCAATATCTGCTTTGCTACCAACTCTGTAGCGCGTGGAAAGAAAATCTCAGCTCGTATAACATAAAGGGGACCAAAGAAAAACTCAATGATGGGAAACGTTATCTCTGTTATCGCGATCGAAAACATTCAAGTGAACATTCGGCTACTTTAAAATTCCTGGTAAACAGCGAACAATTAACTAAATAGAAATCTCCTACAGGAATCTCTCTATGCCTATAATCACGTCTGGTCCTCAGAATGAAGAATCAGTTAAACGCGACGAAATTTTAGCACGTTAAACTTTTAATTCTACGATGCAGTAAGAGCTAAAATAGCAAAACTGGGTCAACTCTAATGATATAATTTATTCCTACTTTGATGATGATGTCTTAAATTTCTACTTTCTCTGTTTTTAACGTCAAAAAAAGTTTTTAACGTTTTGAATAATCATATGATTTTAATGTAATCGCAATTTCGAGAGCAGTTAGAGTTTCAAAATAACATCTAAATTAAATCTGTAAAATTAAAAGTTCAGAGAAAAATTAACAAGTATAATATAATATCGTCAAAATATCTTTTACTAATCCATAGACCCTAAGTAGGTGCAAAACTATCCTCAGGGAGATATTCCCATTTAAATTTTAGTTTTGTGATTATTAGAACTATGTGATTATTATAAATTTTTTGGAAAAAACAAAAAATTTTGAAGTTTTATATAAATATTTGTGTTTTTAACTATGAATATTTTAAAGATTCAATCATTTTATAAACATTATTTTATTTAATATTAATGAGGTTTTAAATAATTTTACGTGAAACAAAAATTTAGCTTGTATGGTTGTCACAATTCCGGTCGTTGTAGGTTTCCGAAGTCAAAACGGCGAAAAAACTATTAAAGTATAAATTTAAAGAATAAAAATTGACGAAATTAAATTATAATAATAAAAATTCATGTTTTACAAAGTGGCACAACTTAAAAGGGAAAAATCGACTTCTGGCCAGTACTTTTTTAAGTTTAGAATTTCTTAAAAAATCGAAATATTACAAATATCGACTTCATCGTGGTAGGGATAGACAATAGTCACAAAGTTACAGTTTACTAACTTTTTACCGTTTTGATGTCAAGTCTACAACATCCGAAATCGTATCAACCAATTTTTCGTATTCGTCGCTAACAAAATTATTTATAACTTCATCAATGTTGAAGATAATAATGTGTATAAATTACTATATATAAGTTAAAGCGTGGATAAATATTTGTATTTATTTATAAATATTTATACAAAATTTCAGAATTATGTTTTATAATTGAAGGAAATTTGGAAAAATGATCTAATGAAACGCTTTAAATGAAAATACTTATCAAAGAGCGTCGAAATATCGACTTAGACGCACGAACCGAGTTTCTTTCCCGTGTCGAAGCGATTTTCGTCGTTCATGTCTCGTTCTCACGACCGACGTACCGACAGTTCGAGTTTTCACGTTATCGTCAATTCGTTACTATCCATTTGTGCTTCGAAAGATTATTCGATAACAGTTACGGATAACGCAACGAGTATTTTTATTATAACGTGCAACGATAAACGTAGCATTTTGCGAATAATGAAAAGGCCTCGGAATGACAGTGTGATGCACGAAGCGTCTAGCTACTACCGGGATCCCGCCGCTACTTTCTACCGCTATACGTATGGGAAAAGAAGTCTCTCTACAACTTCTTCTTCTTCTGCTTCCTCTTGAAACGAGCAATTACATTGCAACGGGTAAATGCCGTGTATCTGTGGAAGAAAAACTATCTATTCATTGAATGCGAATATACATTCAGACGTTCGCGTTCGCGTCTATGGACGGCGGCCCGAGCGAACCCACGCGAATTCGCGGAGCGTCGACGTTAATGATTGCGCAATTTATACTCGTCGAGAGAAATGTTTTTATCTTGACTCTCGCACAGAAGCGAAATAAAAAGATCCTTGTCTTTTTTTCTTATTTTAATTTCTGCGTAATCTATAACGGCACGCTTTCAAGGAATCGTGTCGCCGTGGCCGATGGGTATGATAATGAGTTGGCAATTTCACGTCGGATTTCTGACGGATCGATCATTTAGCCGTGTCTTATTGTATATCGGGATAACAACAGGCACGAGAGCTATTGCCACTTTATTCTCGCGTAAAGATCAACGAAAGCTCTCTCGACGCGGAATTTGACAGTCTCGACAGAGAAAGTGTCGCTGATTTTCTTCGATCGGGTTTTACTACTATTAGGTAGAAAGGTGACTGGATTCATTCGGTTCTAGTTCGATTCTCTCACTTGATTCAAAGGCTAACTAGT